ACACCGCCGCTTTCTACAGAGGCCATTAAACAGCGTTGTAATGCAAACAGTAATTCTACAGAGACCAAACAGGTGTCGGATGTAAAGGGCCGTGTCTCTAATGTACCCATTACATAATGCAGGGGCAGATTATTATAAAAGCGTCTGTTGTCTAATGCGGACACGTCTGATCAATACCAGACTACCCGGATGGGGAGACGAGCGAGAGAGCCCTGCTGTGCTAACCCGCCGCCGATCCGTCCTGCGGTGATGCCGGGACCCGAGTCACCGTATGCCTTCTCGCTTAAGAAGCTGTTCTTACCCAGAATGCCATTGTGGCTAACATGCGACATTCTTAAGCATTTGGTTTTTTCCCTTTATTTGGCTGATTGAGTGTGGCAGTTAGCCGTCTACCGTTTAAATAATGCCACCAGCTTACTCTAAGCTTCTCTCTCAAAGTGCTGTTTTGAAAGCAAAGCTCTCTGTTTTCATGGATCTGTGGACATGTCTCGCAACCAAACAACTAACTTGTAATTGTTTTGTAGGAGTTTGATCAAGCTCTTATCGGATTTAAGCTCCACCTTCCTGTTAGCATTTCTTTTTTTCTCCTCTTTCTTAGGCGTGTGAAAAAGCATTTATAATTTATTGTTGCATTTGGCGCGATATGGTTCGTGTTAAGTTTTTATAAACATCCCCTAAATCTGGCTAATTTCCTGTGTTACTCTTTCGCATGGGGCTGAATCAGACCTGAATTGAGTGCATTTAAATGCTTGCATATGCTTTAAGGAGCTGTATTAAAATCCAAAGTTGCGGGGGTAGAAAAACGCCCCCAGGGCCCGCGGGGTTAAACGACGTGTGACGTGCCGGGACACGTGTCCGCCAAAGAACGTTCCGGTTCCCTCCGCTTTTCAGGAGCGCTGGAGTGCCGCCGCTAGCTGCCTGCCAAGCAACAGCCAGTAAACCGCCCGCGAAGGTTTACGAGCGACGCCGGCCATAGGAAGCCTCTCACCGGGGGCTGCGTTCCTGCACGAGGGACGCTTTTCCGCAGGTGTCACTCAGACGCTTGTTAAGGACACGTCCTGTTTTCCCCAAAAGCAAATGATCAAACTGCCACATAAGTGGTGTTTGTATTGTTACGCATCCTCCCGAAGTTTCAGTCATAAATATTCAGCTGCAGGGCCTGTTGGGTGCTGACGATTACGCTAGTTTGACGCACAGCATAAGAGGACGGGAGACTTTATCTTTGATGCCGATACATTTTTTTTGGCTAGTGCCATGTATGTTGCTGGTTGTGGGATGTGTTAATACCTTGTACCTGAGGAAGAGGAGGGGCCATTTTCCAAGGGAACGTATCAAACTCGAGGGCCATAATGTAGAAGACCGGTCATGTTTTTTAAAACACCAAGCAGTGTATTATTTTAGCTGGGGGGGTTACATATTCACCTCGCATGTGCCTCTTCCCACCTGGTTATAATATGGGGAGGGGCTCGGCGTCGATGAGGACCAGTTCTCTTTGCAAACAGCCCTAATTAATCTTTATTTAACTTATTTCTTATTAACACATTCCTTTGCCTAATCTGGATGCAGTGTATTTCCATTCAACAATTTAATGGTCATTCTGGAGTTAATTCTTTACTGATTTTTTTTTTTTTATGTAATTTGAATCAGTGGAGGGACCTTGTAAATTTTGTCCCAGCTGAATTATGGCCTGAAATCACTGATAAGTCCCGTACGGATCCAACTGGTGCCTGGTGCCTGGAATTGTCTTCAGAGCCTGGCCAGTAACACCCCCGCCCCCCTGCTCATCTTCCCCTCCCTGCCTCCAACCTCCCCCCCTCCCCCCCCACCTCCACCGGCCTTTTTTTACTGAGAGCAAAACCCACAGAGGAGACACGGTTGTCTGTGAAACATGTAGCTCTGTCTCTGTGCCAGCTGCCCGTGTGCAGACAGGCCACCGGGGTGCGGGGGGGGGGACTGGTGGGGGGAGTGTGCCCCTGCCCTGCCGGAGGACATGGGGCCACTTCTTTCATCGCCTAACCTTTGGGGGCCCGTGGAGCCGGCGCCGTTGCTGTGGAGCGAGCGGCACTGGGCTTCTGGGTTTCACCTGCATGCAGTGCATTGAAAAGCTCTGCAGCTACATCATTAATGTAAAAAAGATCGAATCCGACAACGACGACCCTGCTGGATTTTCAAAAGTGAAATGCTGCTTTAAATGCCCTCCTCGCTGCGGTATTACAGAGGATGTGCTTTCTCCTGTGTTAATTTTTCTTTATCGTTAGGCCTGTACTGATATATGAAATGTAATCAGTAAGATTTGTAGGTTGTGGCGCCTGACAGAGCGGGATAAAGGGGAGTGAGGACGCCTTGCTCTAGCTTCTCCACAATCATGACGGTCACTCTGCACACGTGCCACTTTCGTCATGCGCCCTTTCAAAGCCGAAGTCCCCCGACAGCTTTTGGGAGTCGGCTGGTTACGGGGGGGTGGGTTTCTGGGTGTGCTTAATGTGTGTTTTTTCTTTTCTTTTCTTTTTTTTTAAGAAGCTGGGGTGTATTTATTTGCGTTTTCTGGATGCCTCCCTCTGTTCCCCAGCGGCGAGTGACGAGCATTTGGGTCCCAGGCACCGATGCACCCGTCTCATCCTGTGCACTGCTCAGCTTAAGTTACAAGTGTGGCTAGGAAGCTGGGGGGTGTGGCTTGGGGGGGGGGCTGGGGGGGAGGAGGAGCCAGTGGCATTGTGCAACAGCGTAGGAAAAAAATGGTTTCACAACATCTTTTAATTTCTTCATATACATGCCTTTCTTTTGGAATGTTTTTAAAAGACATTTTGATGTAATTTGGTGTTAGCATCAGACATCAGGTCCTCTTCTTTTTTTTGGGGGGGGGGTTTCATAGCTGATTGGATGATCTCCAAATGTAATTTCATAAAAGGCTTTCAAAAATGAAAGCTATTATATACTGGAAGTATTTGCTGTTTTTTAATGGAATATCAAAAGGCTGAATTTTTTTGAATAATTTTATAAGCATGTAATTTGTTATGCATGGTCTCTTAGTAGGACCCCTGCATTTTTTTCCCCCCTTAAATATCATGAAATATTCATGGCGTGACAGCGTGCCCCTGGTTCGGATTCTTTCACCAGTGGATTCCAAAAACACCTTATGGCGAGTTTTTTTTCCCCTCCCCTAATTACCGAAATCGCGGAGTGAGACAAAAAGACGTACCTGTTAAAACTCGCATGGTAATTTGTGGATTAGCCGCCACGCCTGGGGGGTTACATCACAGCTCGAGTGCTCAGTCTGGCCTCACATGCGGGACACGGCGAGCCGCGCTTCCGGAGACGCCGAGCAGCGCATCCTACACCGTGCTGGAGGAGCTTGTGAAATCTCAGACCGCTTATCTGGGGAGGGGGGGGGCTGCATTCTGGCTCCGTGGCTCCCCACACTCTGCTCTTTACGATAACTGAGACATGTGGTCCAGGCACCAATTACCTAACCTCTCAGTTAAACGCTGTAAAAGCCAGGCTAACTTTGCCGTTTTTTTGTTTTTATTATTGAACGCGCGAAGGGGAAGGTGAGCCTGCCTACTGCTATGCATCCTTTTTGCCCAGACGTGCTTCGTAGTGTTTATTTTATCAAGTCATCCGGCAGTGACAAGCCTTGCGTGTCCCGTTAGCCGTCTATAGCACCTTTAGTCCGTACGGATCCCTCTGCCCTGGTGTCACCTCAGACACTCTGATGGTTAATATATACATAAGACCTCTTGCCTTCACTGTTTTGACATATAGCTCTAACTTTAGCATTAAAAATTCAGATTTGAGTTCCATTCCAGAGTTCCTATGGCTCCAATCTCAACAGCAAACAAAGAGAAATCCTTTGTTAATGCAGGTCTGTGTCTGTCATGAGTCTGTATACAGTAGCTTATGTGTGTTTTTCTATAGATCAAACTATATTGCAAACTTTTTTTTTTTTTTATGAAAAGGTTTTTTTTCTCAAAAGCTGGCAGTAACCACTGAGCGTCAGAAGATTGGCTGTCCTTGTTTCTGGAAAAAAAATCTGCTCAGCACAGACACTCTGACACATTCCTCTCAGCACAAGGTACAACTTGTTGGGGCTGTGGAGTGAACGGGGCTTTGGAAAAGGTGTACGCACAAGCACACACACACACACACACACACACACACATATATATATATACATATATATATATATATATATATATACACACGTACACAGATATTTACACACACATATTTACACTGACACACACACACACACTGATTATATATATACACACACACAGATATTTACACACACATATTTACACTGATATATACACACACACACACAGTGCTACAAAGGTACGGATATTCTTACACACACACTGCTCAACACATCAACGCACAGGGACACAAACTTGAGTGAATGCACACGCTATATCACACACAGGGGTCGCTGACGAGCACACACACACACACCACCTTGTACGCACATACAGGGACAGGGACACACGCTGGTGTTGGCAGACACACACACTCTCCCCGGCACGCACACACACACACACAGAGGCAGGCGGCCGGGCTCGGAGCAGGGCTGCATTGATTGAATGCATTACTCAGACCGGTGGAGAGCCGCCGCGCTGAGCACAGGAGAGCTCGAATCTCCCCAGACTGCATTAGCAGTGCCTCAAGCCTCACTCATTCCTTTTGATCAAATCTCTGTGAAAGATGAGTGTCATGCCCTCTTCCAGCCAGCTGTGAGGGGACTGCCCTGTGACTCGGGGGGCCGGGGGGGCCGGGGGAGGGGCGTGCTCAAACACACCGCAGCGTGGCTCGCAGGGAAGAGGCGGCTCCTGAAGTGAGAAGGTGCTCTGCAGGGAACGGCGAATGGGAGGATCTCCTTCTGCTCCCCTGTGCCCAGTTCAACTCGCAACACATCTTGAGTAGCTTAGATCCAGACTACAGCAACAAAGGGGGGGGAGGAAGGTGCATGAGTGGGGGGAGAGAGAGAGAGAGAGAGAGAGAGGGAGTGTGTGCCTGTGTCTGTGCACTCGTATATGGAAGTGTGAGCCCGTAGAGGTGTGTGTGTGTGTGTGTGTGTGTGTATGTGTGTGTGTGTGCGTGAGAGAGAGCGTGCGTGTGTGCGCGTGTGACAGGCAGCTAGAGCTGCCGTGTGATGGCTCTGCTGCCATAATACTTGTACGGACAGGAGAGGTGGAAGCATTTCTTTGGAGGACTGGTAGGGAATGGCAAACTCTGTGGTTACCCTGGCAACTTCCCTTTAATGAGATGAGAATGTCTGAGGTAAGGAAGACATGCTGTTTGCATGAGACTTTTTCATCCCTCTCTCTCTCTCTTGCGCTGTCCTTTTTTTTCTTAACTTAGTCCCAAACAAGCCTCTAATGCGTCGGTATAGAATGTGTGCCTTTCTGCTGTCTGCCCCTAGCCCGTTTCGGGGGGGGGCAGCTTTGGGGTGGATTTTGTGGGATTTCGCTTTTTCCTTTCTTCCGGTTGTGTCACGCGCCTGAAACTTGGGAACAGTTCAGAACCTTGAATCTCTTCTCCACGGGCCGGCAGGTATGCCCCCCCCCCACCGTCCTACGTTGGATCCTCCCGTGTGCCGGCGCGCTCCCGACTGCTGCTGCCCCAACACGCTGCGAGAGGCTGCATGACTGGCAACTCCAACAAAAATGAGACAAAAAAAAACTTTTTAGGCAGATGGGGGTAGGGGAGCAAAAGACGGGGGAAAAACTCTGCATGATAGAAACATTCCTCTTTGATGATTCTAGCCCGCTACTTTTTGGGGAGGCCGGCGTTAGCGCCATGCTAATTTTGCAGAGATTGAACTCCTTTCTGGGGTCTAGCGATCCTGGCTGATGTGATGTGGTGTGGAGCCTCCCAGCGCGGCGGTGTGGGGTTCTGCGTCGGCCGGCCGCGGGCTGCTGCATTTTTGATCCTCTCGCCTGGATACGGACCAGCATCTCCCGGAACGTAACTTAAGACCGCGGTAATGTTTTGTCCCGGCCTTAATGCAACAATTAGCTGTGCGGCTGCGATCCTGCGCTGGCGTCACGTCGGGCCGCGGTGACCGAACCACGGCTACGGGGATGGGCAGGTGGCACGGGGGGGGGCGCTAAATCAGGGAAGCCTTTAATGATCCATCCAGCTGAAATGCTTTTGGGAGGAAGTTCCTCCAAATGTTTCCTTACTCTGTAATATTACTCTGTAATACTGTCGCTTCCCATTAACAATGTGCATTTTAGTAGATGTCTAATGGAGTCGAGGTGTACTTAAACAGAATTAAAGTAGTTTTCTTTGACATTTTCACATAAGCTTAGTTGGCTGAAAACAATTAAAAATGATACCAGAACATTTTAAAAGCTTAAATTTCTTCCAATGTGTGCCCAGTGCTGTTGGAGTAGATGTATTAGTATTAAATATTAAAAATATTTCCTGGAAAATAAATAGTTTAAGCCAGTAAATGTAGCGCCAGTGCTTGCCTGCTGGGCGCTCTGGCTTCGAAGGGACTGGGGGAGTGGGGGAAGGGGGGGGGGGGTCTGACAGACGAAATGACTTTCCTCTGGAGGTCCTTAAACTGTTCGGCATGGGATGTTTTCAGGCTGGTAATTTACGGCGTCCGTCCTGCAGGATGTGTTAGGTTATTTTTTTTTGTTTGCTTTGGGGGGTCGATTGGGCGGTGGGAGGGGGTACCTTGTCTTGTGGCAGAGCCTGGTTATCCAACCCCCTGGCTCATGCAGGTCAGTCATCGGAGCCATCGTTTCACACCCCCCACCCCACCGTAGCCGATTCCCACCTCCAGGGGCAGCCTCATTATCTCAGTGACAGCACGGCAGCACTGGGGCCTGAGGGCCAGAGGTAGGTAATTCAGGTCCAGAGAGTGAAAGTCCAGACCAAGATTTTGTGTCAACCAACCAGTTGAGTATAAAGAGTCACAGTCACAGAGTACTCAACTGGTTGGTTGACACAAAATCCTGGTCTGGACTTTTAGTCTCTGAACCTGAATTACCCACCTCTATCGCAGGCCCCTTCCGGCTGCCCCGGATGAGCCTGTGAGAATCCGTCAGCCAAAGCAGGAGACGTGATGTTAATCGCCATGTAGCTTTGAGCTCTCTCTCTCTGTCTCTCTCTCGGGCCGAGACACTGACATGTTGCTCTCATCTTCAAGCTGCTCCACTCTGAGGCTTCCCAGCTGGCCCTGTGTGCTGTGGTGATGCATAGACACAGGATGCTCGTCTTCTGCGTGATTAATAGGCATCAGAAGGCACGCCTCCTCACTGTCAAAGGCCCTGATTGCACACCATGCATCTGAGGCCACTCTCCCTACTGATACTGGAAGCCAAACCCACAGAGTTGGTCCGCCGATGGCAACATGGCCTGCGTTTGGTTTTCTGGTTTGTTTGTCGGTCATCAGAAGCATTTTTTGGGTCATCTTAAAACCAGGAAGCGTTACGGGATCAAATATTACTGCCTTAAAAGAGGAAAATAATTAAAAACAATTTGAGAAGAAAAAGAATTGCAAAGTTTAAAAGTTATAGGTTCTCTCAATGGATGTGGTTGAAGTAGTCCTGCCCTCTGTTCAAATTTTAGGTGTCTGGATTTTTGTCCCCCCCCCAAACAAAAAAAAAAAAAGACCAACAGGCTGGGAAAACACACTGTTACTCATGTTCCTCCTGCATGCTTAGGGGTGGCTTGGGGGAGGGGGGGTGCGATTTTATGGCAGTATTTGTCCGCGATGGACAAATGCAGATCATATTGTAACACAGTCAATCACTGCCTTGTTTTGAGCCGATGCCTGCGGACTCTGCGCCGAGACGACAGTGGATTTAAACGCGCGATGGCCGTCGCCGTTGTTCGCGATGAGGAAACAAATACCTTTTGAAACTTCACCGTTTTCACACACGTTTTATGGCCTGGCGGTTTTCACCACGCCGCACCGTGCTCGTGTTCACATTCGTTACCAATTAGGGTTATTACTGTGAGGCATGTGTGCGTCCTCTGTGGAATAACCACATGATTTATTAATGTGTCTGTTGCTCCTGTGTGTGTCGCACACATTGATAAGCTTGAGGAAATGTTTTGCGCCAGGAAACGCGTAATATGTAATCCATAAATTATACCGACAGGAGGTGTTGATTTCTTTGTGTGTGATTGTACCCCCCCCCCCCCTTCACACTGAGTAAGTATCCGTGCCCCGTATTAGTGGAGTCTGTCCTTTAATTGGAATAATATGTGTGTTGGGGTCCAGATGTCCCCTGAGAGGCAGTGCTTTTTTATGCTGCGTTGACCCCCCAAGTCCATGGTCCTGAGAATCTGAAATTTTAACCTGGGGACAAGCTTTCAATGACGCCGGCTTCAGACAGGACGGGGTCCAGCCCGGGAAAGCTTCTCTGGGGTTCTGCGAGGTCGAATTGGCGCCGGATCCTGTCGATGGCCCTCGGCCCACAGGATATGGCTTGGGGGGTCGATTCCTTTACCAGGGGAGAAAGTGTCACATTTTCTTTGGAGAGCCCCTTCTGTTGGATGGCATCATGAGTCTTGTTGTTTGTCTTGAGATGCCATTGAACTCTCCAGGTTGTATGTACAGCTGTGTAGGGAGCTGTCCTGCTCTTTAAATGGCCCTTTAAGTTGGCTGTGGATGTCCCGGCTCCAGAGGGTTTTCACAGGCTTCCATGGGGCTTCCGCAAGGTGTGGCTCCATGTGTCAGGCTGAGCTCCTTGTAACTGATTAATTTTATGGTGAATTATCCTAAAAAGTTCTCCCACCGTCCCCCGTCAGCCAGCAGCTGTCCTGAACAGTGATGCGTCATGCAGATTAGCGCAGTGACTTACTGCTGCCTCTCTGCATTAAACACTGCATGTCTGGCAGGATCTGAGTGTGAGACCTGAATGGTTAGTCAATGGGTTTTTTTTCTTTGTTTGTCCCAATCTTGTTGTAGCTTTGACTGCTAGGTAACACAAGAGAGAATTCCAAAATCACTGTTTGACACACTTGGCAGTAAACACCAAAGGCTTTTTTTTTTTCCAGGAAATCAGATGACGGAATATTCTGGGGTGCATCGCAGTTTATTTTGCATAAATAGTAATTTATCCTGTTGCTGTTTCCTGCTCGGGGTGACAGGGCATGGAGAAGTAGGGATCCCCTCAAGCTGGGACTCGACTGGCATCCCTGTCTGGGTGTCCTGCGTCTGTGCTGTTTGAGGAATGCATCTGGTGGATGAGTTTCCTCAGAAACCCCTCCGTGCCCCCCCCCCCCACCAC